GTTACTCTTATGTTTAATTGGTTAGATTAATTACAATTACTTTATTCTATTCCCGCCCAATATTTGGAGTTCAGCACCTGAATCTCCACTCAAAGCAATATATGGTTTTTGGTCAGAATACAATGCAAATGTCCTCTCTCAATATGTGGATATCTGCAGTAAAACCAGAAACCATATGGCCACTTGGTGCCATCTATCAATAGAGACTTTTTCATACATGAAAGTCTTTAAAGTCTTTGGATTCCAACAGGGCTCCAAAAATGACGTTCCATTAAGATATCTAACCATTCTTATGACTTGCTGCATTGTTACTCTCCATACCAAAGCACTCTTTGAAGATGTGGGTGAGTTTAAAGATGGAGAAAATTATGCGTATTAATGAATGATGGAGGGTTAGAATCAATTTAAACCCAGTTTGCTTAACAAAGCAAAACATTCTTTTTCTGGCAATTGAAACTCCAGCTTAGGCTTTTAATACATGCCCTTTAGGTCTGGATTTGAGAATGTCGCAAGGAGATTTTCATGATCAGGGTCAATAAGACCAGAAAAGTGTTTAGGTCCTATGGATTGATAAATATGATTGAATCTCCCTTCTGAGATGGATGTTTTTTTAAAAAAATTGCTCAGTTCGTCTGCAATCTGGATTCAAATAATGTTTCAGAAAACCAGCTCTTTCGTGTGATTATTGCATCCTTTGTCTTCATGTGATGGTAACCCAAATAGAGAACTAATGCTAAAAACAATAACAACAACAATGCTAAGTTTCTTCTTGGGAATCGGTTTACTGGCTATTTATAGTGGTGCAATAAAACACCTCAGATATTTGTATACATGTGTAAGTATTGATCTTTCCCTTTTGTCTGATGCTCTATACTCAAGATGGCTTTCTTTATTGTAAACATTATACAGCCATCTACTGGGAAAATTCTATAATTGTATTGTCCCTTTATCTTACTTAGAATTAGTCTCAATAAAATTGAGAATATTTTCTATGAAACCAAGCTCCCTCCTCTGAAAAAACAACAACATTAGGTTCTAAGTTAGAACCTATTATGAGAAAAAATATTAAGCACTATAATAAAAGAAAAATGTTTGGAAGCTCAACATTAGATATAAACCCATATTCTCTAACCTGGTACCTCTCAGATGTATGATGCTAACTCTTATCAGACACAGTCAGCATTATCTATTATGGAAGATGTAGACCAACCTATCTGAAAGGCATACGATGGGGGATGGTTGATATAAAGTAAAAATGAAATCAGTAGCATGTCCATAATTTCCAATATTTTTTTGTAAGTTGGGGAAATTATTCTGGAAGAAAATGACATTTACACCTTCTTTAGATGGCCTGGTTCTACTCATATTTTGGTCATTAGGTTGCAAAAGTTCTAATACTGCAATTATAAGGAAAGTATAATAGTTTTTCTCAATCTGTGTAGCTTTGCTTGCTTTCTATAATTCTGAAAACAGATTTTAAGAATTTGCACTTGTTAGCTTTGTCCAACTTTCTCCAAATAGAAAAGGACAAATGTCTTTTCTCTTTCCACCCAATTTTTTGAATGATAGTCAAACTGATGCATTTAAACCACTTCTAATGCAATACTCTAGGTCTTGTTGTTGTTAATTGCGAAGTCGTGTCCGACCTATCGCGACCCCATGGACAACGTTCCTCCAGGTCTTCCTGTCCTCTACCATCTTCTGGAGTCCATTTAAGTTCACGCCTACTGCTTCAGTGACTCCATCCAGCCACCTCATTCTCTGTCATTCCCTTCTTCTATTGCCCTCAATCTTTCCCAGCATTAGGCTCTTCTCCAGTGAGTCCTTCCTTCTCATTAGGTGGCCAAAGTATTTGAGTTTCAACTTCAGGATCTGGCCTTCTAAAGAGCAGTCAGGGTTGATCTCGTCTAGGACTGACTGGTTTGAACGCCTTGCAGTCCAAGGGCCTCGCAGGGGTCTACTCCTCCACAGCTATACTTTTAGAATGCCTACAGCAGGGGTCTTCAAACTTGGCCCTTTTATGACTTGTGGACTTCAACTCCCAGAATTCCTCAGCCAGCATGCCTGGCTGAGGAATTCTGGGAGTTGAAGTCCACAAGTCATAAAAGGGCCAAGCTTGAAGACCCCTGGCCTACAGTTTCTTCAGCACCCTGAAAGACATCAACATGATTGTCACTTTACTCTACTCATTGAGATAATCTGAGAAAGCTCAGCTCCAGGTGTTTTAGTTATGCAGCTAATGGTTGTGCCTCCTTTATAAGTATTCCAATTCTGTGAAATGCAAACACTTTTCCTGATCGATGTGGGATCTCTTACATTCTGAAATTAAAAGTAGTAATCTAGACCAATAAATTATATTGGGCTGACAAATGAGTTATGTCCATCTCTGGTGGCTTCAACTATACGCAATCACTTTCATCTTTTTAAGCATGGAGGTAATGAATGGAATGAAGTTCTATTAAGCAATCAACCATAACTGTTTCCAAAATTCTCCCAGGCAAAACCCCAACTAAATAGTTTTCTGAACTGTCATTTTTATTATTATCGGCAGATGTGAAGCATTGTGGCTTTAGATAACCTGGATTGACTTAACCCAGTCTTTTAAATTAGACTGATGTGGACTACAGACACTCTATGGATGGAAAACGTTGTTCATTCATGGAATGAATGAATACATACAACCAAGTTTCCACAAATGAAACTAAATATTTCCCTCCATAGAGTCTCCATACCACCCTTCAGGCTGCTTACCTATAATTTCAAAAGAGATGGAAGACCCCAAGGTAACCAGTTTTGGACTGAAAACAGAGAATTCTAGGGTGTGTTTTTTTCTCTCTATAAATCAAGATCAAATAAACCTTTGGGGCTTCAGGGCATATTTAAAATGTATGTTGAGAGCATAGGTGACTCTACTCACAAAATGGCTGTCATGAGAGACACAAATAATCCACTTACCAGAAGGGATAGCAGCTCTTTTTTCCCTGGATACTTTCTACTATCCTGGTGAGATTTTTTTGTGAGGCCTAAAGGCAGTACTGCAAATAGATATGCTGCTAGAGGCTAATGCTTTCGAACATGACAGCTCCCTATTTATTTTTTCATTTAAAAGAATCATTAAAAAATAATCAGATGGGATAGGGTGCCTAATGGGTACCAAGGGAGGCGTCTGGGGGCTTGCTGGTGCCTGGAAGCACTGTAATGCAGTTTCATTTTCGTCGGCTTGTTTAATCTTTTATATTCATTACAACCGAATAGTAAGAGTAATAATAAGAGTAACCGTTGCAAACATTTTAGATTTGTGTGGGTTTTAACACTCTCCATTGTGGCATTCAGGAGCTCCTTGCTTTCAGGCAGGTTGTTTGCAAGTATTAAGGCTTCTCCCTCTTGAATTGAAACAGCAGTGAGGTCTCTCTATTTCTGCCCATAAATTTTTAATCATAGCCTCCTCCTTTCCACCACTGATTGAGTTCCCTACCGCAGCTAATGGCACGTCTTGTAATATTCATCCATGTAAAATATGTATATGGATGCCATTTCTTATTTTTCAAAGGAAGCTCGCATAAAGCGAGCTGAATGCCTTTCAAACCAGGGCAAATTTGTTACATGTTTGATCACCGGGCTAATCAGAACATACAGGGGAAAGATACAAGGTTGGTATAATCATCTGGATGGCATTTTGCCACCTGCCTCCAACGTAAAGCCAGATGAAGCCCAGGATGTAAATTTTATTTGACTTCAATGGGAATGGGGTCGAGTATCTAAATGCATGCCCTCTGGCTGGAATACATTCAAAGATGACATACCTTAAAAAGCCAACAGGTCAAATTACTAGAGGTGAATGAATTTTTAAACAAGAGGCATTTTGACGGCCATGATTTAATATCTCCAAATGTAATTACTTTATAAATGATTCCATGAAACGATTCCAGCTTTTGTTGCCAGATAGTATATTGTAACTATGGTGAAAATAGAGCCCCAGCCATCTTTCTTTCTTTCTTTCTTTCTTTCTTTCTTTCTTTCTTTCTTTCTTTCTTTCTTTCTTTCTTTCTTTCTTTCTTTCTTTCTCTTTCTTTCTTTCTTTCTTTCTTCCTTTCTTTCTTTTTCTTTCTTTCTTTCTTTCTTTCTTTCTCCTTCCTTCCTTCCTTCCTTCCTTCTTTTCTTCCTTCAATTATCTTCTACTACTTCCCCTTATTGGTATCATTATAATGATTATATTACTTTGTTGTTTGTATGTACATTGAGAGCTTCTGCACCAGAGACAAATTCCTTGTGTGTCCAATCATACTTGGCTAATAAAGTATTCTACTCTACTCAACTCTACTCTACTGTACTCTACTGTACTCTACTCTACTCTACTCTACTCTACTCTACTTTACTCTACTCTACTCTACTCTACTCAACTCTACCCTACTCTACCCTACCCTACCCTACCCTACCCAACCCTACCCTACCCTACTCTACTATTTCCTTTCTTCCTCCTTCCCTTCCTTTCTTCAAAATGAAATTCCTTCAGAAAAAAATTAACAGACAGGATTCAACCCAGAAGTCTCCTGCTTTACACTCCAATTTTTTTCTTAACTTTATAATAGGCAGAGAGAAGATAAATCTCAGTCCATGGGTAGATCTCCAAACAAGCTGTAAATAGGCCAGCAAAGTTTCTGATTTCCAATATTTATGTGTGTATGTTTATGTATGTGAATGCTTGTGTGTGTGTTTGTGTGTCTCGAATCACTTTTGGCTCTTGCCGTCTGCCTAGACAAGTCTCTGCAGTTTTCTTGGCAATATTTCAAAAGCTGTTTGCCACTATTTGAGGGGTAGGGGGTGGGGACTGGCTCAAGGACTTTGTACCTAAGGAAGGGCTAGACTTTCTTCAACATAGAAAGACCTCAGTTGTTAATTAACAGAAATAGCTTTTCTATTCTGTACCAGTTTGATAGCCAGTTGACTTTGATTATCAGAAAAGGTGGTTGTCATTATTATTATTTTAATATTTTCCATACCTGTTGGTTGGCATGTTCCTCCACTGTATCCTGGACAGCACTTCCACTCCAGTGAGGTAACTATAATATGTTTGATCCTGTAAACTTGCTGGGTCCTTGACTGGGAACTGCAAGGTAATTTGAAAAGCAGACATTAGTGGAGGTTAGGGTGAAGGGACATGATACAGGATGATAGATCAGTAACAGGACACAGGGGGATTAGTCCTGAAGTTTATTGATTGTGAAAGATCACAAGCAAATGCTTTTTGACAGAATCACGGCATGTCAAAGCTCATAATGCTAAACATTTCAGGAGCACAAATGAATGCGAGAAGGCATTTATTTAAGTATATATGTGATCATTTGCTTTGTGAGGAAAGTTTTCAGGGATGTCTGAGAAACAGACATAACTTCCAAGAAAAAAATAAGAAATTGTAGTGCAATAAGATGGCATGCTTATAAACCATGGAACTGGCATCACATTGAAAAAAACTGAATACATTTTCCCTCAATGCTCAGAAGAAAACAAGATAACATAGAGAAAAAGTATCCTAGGAACACAGTGCCAAAACAGAAAAGATCCTTCTTCTGATCACTGGTCATCACAAGAATGCAGAAAAGGCATTCAACTCTTAGACCCTAAATAACAACTCAGCATTTTTGCATGTCATACAAAGTTGTAAACTTAGCATTTTACTAAATCGGCTATGCAAACCAATGCTTTTGTAGAGTTGGAGAGATTTTCCTCAATCAAATGTACATATTACAAGTTCTCTTTAAGCATGTGCTTAAGCATGCACTCATATACACTGTCCTAAGCTTTGCAATGTTGAATCTATATTTCCAAAACTGACTGTGTCTTCAATCCCATTTGTTAAAAACATAATTCAGTTTCAGCAGCTATGACTTGAGAAAAGGTTGGTTTTAATGATCCTTCTGATAGGCAATTCTAAATATCCTCATTTGGAATAGATCCACCACCAAGCATCTGCTGAAGCTCCAGAACCTCAGTGACTGCTGTCTTTGACACACTCCTTTTTCATTTAGAAGCTGAAAGTAGCATCTGACAGTTGTAATTTGCCATTTTAGTTTCCCATTATGTTCCATCCTCAATCTGGGTACCTCCAGATATATGGACAATTTTGAGGGCAGGGAATTCTTCTTGAAGTCCACAATGGGTGGGCAAGACTGCTAATTATGCCGCCTTTTATGAAATATACAAGATCAAAATAGGCACTTCCAGAAGAAGGGCATCAATTTTATAGCAAAGGGTGATAATTATAGCATATTACAAAAATAGCTTGCCATAAGGAGAGGATGGTACACTAAAAAGCAAATTATATCAAATGTAATCTTATTTATAGCCCTTACACTTGAGATTCCTATTTGAATTTTCATTACTTACACTGAAGGCAAGGAGTGCAGTAGGCTAAGGGAAAAACTGAATAAATATCCATTTTTTCAGAAGTTAAAATTATGCCTTCAGTTTCAGCATGACTATGAATAAGACGCAATGCAAATGTGTGTAATTAAGAGCATGAAATCTGGTTCCGAAATACTCATGTCCACTCAAAGTTTCTGCTCAAGTGAATCCCTAGAAACCTTTTTGGGTTGCTAGAGTAACATCTAATTAGTGGGGAGATTTTTGCAGCCAAATTGCCTTCTGGGATTTACTCACATTTACATCATCTTTCTTATCATTGAGGTCTACTCAGGATGATTTTGTAGTCAAGTGACAACATATGCATAGTGGGCCATGCATTTGGGATCTACTCTGAAAATAAAGATCCCATCTTTGCAAGGTTCTAGACAGTATGGATGATTCTAAATATACTCTGCGCAATGAACAAAGTAGTTTAGATTAATCCCTTCGTACAGAAAGATCAAGGGATATTTAATACCAAGGATGAATGACCCTCATTTTTTTCTCCGTATTATCTGGCCATGCATGTAGACTTCTGTCTAAAAAAACAGTTTATTGTAGTAAGAAGCAAAGGAAGTCTTGGAAAGTGAAGTGTTAGGGAAGGAATGTTCAGGATTTTATCAGTTAACAAGGAGTGAGTAAATCTTTTACTAGTGTGGGGGAGAGATTTTCAGAAATAGAGATGACATCTTCTGTTTTTAAGGCTTTTTGTGGGACAAGGCTGACTAAGAGTTGCAAACATCTGTCTTGCTCCTTCCCTTAAAGTTTTTTTTTATTGTTTTTTATTCCATTTAATCATTTACTTTTAAGAATTGAAGCTGTAGGAGAATGACAGGCAGAGCCCAGGGGTGGAGTCAAGAGAGGAATCAGTCTGGAATCATTAGGTGCCCACAAGCACTTAGTCCAACCTCTCTTGAATTCCATTAACTCTTATCTAGCACCAATTTAGCACTGAACATTAGTTGACTAGATTCTTGTGTATAGGCATGAGCAATAAATCAGCTTAATGGAACTTAATTTTTGGTCCTGATTCTTCGCAGCTCACAAAAGCTTATATGGTACATAGCAGAGAAACACTCTGAGTATTATATTTCTTTATAGGAAGGCACCATAACCATTCCTAGGATAGATTCTACTTCTACTCCCCCAACCAAATAACAAGGAAGAAAATGTGATAGAATGGTAGAGAAAGCAAAACTCACAGTTTGCCTTCTGGTCATGACCCAAAGGATAAATAATGTTGTGCACAAAGTAAATTGTGAAAATACCCATGAAATATTCTCTAATTTCTTAAACTGCTTACTGCACTCCACCCTGCCTAGACCTTTGGCGGAGAGAAAAGTGAGTCCCATAAGTCACTGTGTTCATGGTTTTTTAAAAAAAATATCCTTTTTTTTTTTAGGGTATACAATCTGTCTATTTAATAGTTTGCTTTTCTTTGTCTCCCACAGAATTTGTATCTTGTAAGAATATAAGCAACCATTGTGAAACAAATTATGGCATGGTGAGGTGGAGAAAATGCTAATATTGGCTAAAGGAAGAATGTTATGAATTCAAGGCACATTTTGATGCTAATATTCGTGTCCTCAATACACTTCAGCGTTTCAGAAGGTTTTCCCTGATCATCATTTAAATCCCTTTCACACATATCCAGTTATCTAAGAATAAGAAATGTGTTTGGATTGCTATGGATTGTTAATCAATTGTCTTCAGCTCCTTACATGAATTTCTGAGGTAAAACTAAGACTGCAACCTGACCTGATTCAAAACAGAAATGATTTGGGGAAAACAACTCCATGCATATTTCAAATGCTGAATGACTATGTAATTAAATTTGCTGTTGATCTTGGATGAAGGGTATTTCAGACACAGCAACAAAGATATGAACACTGAAATGGTTTTGAGTTTTATAAAAGGAGATGGATTACATTTTAAAAGAAATTGCTTCTAGAATTTAATCTGTGTTATAGATATGCCAGCCTGCCACCTAGTGGAACAAAAAAGGTTTGAAGGTCCTGGAAAATCTGATTCACACATTTGGAGAATTAAAACACATCTTTTCCCAAACTGGTCTCCTCTCGAAATGTTAAATTTCTAGAATTTTCAAATGAAGGTCATGCTGGGTGAAGAATCTGAGGGTTTTAGTATTTAAAACCTAGAAAGAAAGTATTAGATTGAGGAAAACTGAATGAAAACACTAATTGTTGTGTTCCTTTCAATAGGTTTAAGAATGCTCAGGTGGAGAAAGCAAATAACCATCCATTTCAATTTCAGGAAATTCTCCTAGCAGAAGATTTTTATTTTTAAGATGTTGAAAACTTTAAAATCTAGCATCCAACACATAGGTAGGGATAGGCAAGGCTTCATTTTTTTCTCTCTTAACATTCCTCTTCTATCTCATTTATGCTTTAGATTTATCTTTTAATGTGTGAGATTTATCTTTTAATGTGTGAGAATTGTTACTTAACCATATATCTACTTTCAAAATACCTTTTCTATCAAAATAGACTTTTTTTTAAAAAAAATGGTTTTAGAGTTATTGGGGAAATTTTAGGAAGTGCAAAAGCTCTTAAATACGTTTTCTGAATGAATAACAAAAGCTTATGAATAACAAAATTGGCAATTCATATCTGTATTCAGAAAGATCCATTACCAAAACATCCTTAATCATGAGTTGGCAATATGTAGCCTGGGTACCACAAATAACCTAGACAGAAAAAAATATATCCCTTTTGAACACAGAGGAGGTGACCACCCCTCTGTTCTGTTTAGATCTGACAATATTTACAAGCTTTCTTAGTTCAGAAAAACTTGTCAGTTTAGATTACTGTACAAGAGCTGGATGAAAAATAGATGAAATTCTGAGGAGCTACAAACTCATTGACTATGGATGTCTGCAAAATCTCATTGTATTTGTCAACCAGCCATTCTAAAACCTAGCCACACACCAGCTTGCCTTAGTCCAATCGCTGAAAGAGAATTCAGACTTGTTTGAAATCAGACTTCACCTATAGATCTTACATAACACAATAGTGTTACACAACTTCATGCTTGAATTGTCTTTTCCAACACACACGTTTTCACAGACAAGCTGGTTTGGCACACTGAAACCAGGGTAGCGGTTTGTGGTGTCAAAAGCAATAAACACATACGATAAAAGCTGGAAGGGTTTATTAAGCAAAGCACAGCGAAAGAATTACTTCAGCCACAAAGCACAATTTAAACAGGAAATATCCATTGGCAAGGCAGGAAAACAGCACATACAATATTCAGTAGAAAATACGGGTAAATATGGGTCAAAAATATGGGTCAAAAATTTACATCCTTTAATAGTTCATTTAGTTCAGTCTCTTTTCTTTAAAGGCAGCCACGGATATCCCTCATATTATTCTGGCTAGTGTTTACCACCTTTCATAGGTAGATCTAAACTGAGGTTTATTTCTTGGAGTGATTGATAGAATGTTTACCTTTCTTTCTTAATTAATCAGATATCTCTCCAGACACTCGCAGATGGCAGACATTCCCTAGATAAAGAGTATATGTGGGTAAAAAAAATCTGCTTGACCATGACAGTCTAACTTCCTGTAGTTGGCTAACTTTATGATTAACAATTTAAGAGCATACTATATTGATACCATTAATTATAATCTAGAAATGTCAGAACAATTAGACACAGAGAGAATTTTTTCCCTCCTGCCATCAGTCCGCTGAATATCTAATTCCTATAGTACTGACTCATGTCTAAGGATATTTACTCATGTAGTAGGGCTGTAGTACTATTATCCTCATCTTTTCTACTACCTTCTCCTTCTGATATCTTTTGATTATATTACTTTGTTATTTGTATGTACACTGAGCTTATGCATGGACACAAATTCCTTGTGTGTCCAATCTCACTTGACCAATAAAGAACTATTCTATTCTATTCTATTCTATTCTATTCTATTCTATTCTATCATGTTCCAAAAATCAAAAGCAAAAAAGTAAGAGTAATCCATCACTACTGGTTTGTAGAATATATATGCCCTTAACACCTAAAATGAAAAAGGATGGTATAGGAAAAAGGATGAATTCCACTAGCTCCTTACTTTTCTTCTATAATTCCAACACACAAACACAGAGACGTCCACACAAAGACACAGGAAATTAAAAGAAGAAAACTGAAAATACTGTATAGTACATATTATCCAGCCAGAACATTTAAAGGGAGTAATCAACTTTTTACCTTTTTCAGTAGTTATTTTATGTATGAGTTGAACAAATAATCCATTATTTAACAGAGCAAAGGTTTATGAAAATGATTGTAGCATAGCTATAATTCATGGTGATGAATTAAGCAAACACCTGTATTTGTCATTTAATCCAGAAGTGTACTCCTATTTGACCAACAAGGAAGATTTCTGAATGAATCCACCAGATGTTCAAGTGAAACCGTAATTATTTCATTTCAGTACACTAAAACAAATTTATCTCCCAATATAGGTAACAATATAAAATCAGCTTTCATGTTTTTGAGGATATAGTCTTCATGTGAAATTAAATTAATTATTAGAATCCAGTGGCACATATCTTGGAAAAATAAAAGTTGGCTTATAATGCGTTAGTCAAAAGAAATTATAAACTAATAATTTAAAGATACTGTACTGCTTTTTTTGTATAAGAACAGGAAGGATCATGTACCTTTCATGCAGAAAGTCCAAAGGTCAACCCTCAACATCTCCAGCTAGCATTAAAAAAGCTTCTTATCTGGAATTCTGGATAGTTTTTGCCAATTATTATACTGAAGTAGGTGGAAGGTTGACATGTGACTATATTCTGTGATTTACGACTAAGAAAACTTTAATTCTTCCAGGATCTTTAGCAGAAACATCATTTAATATTATCTTCCTGGATGGAGTATTCTGTATATTTCAGGTTCTCTCTTCCTATAGATCAGCCTAGCTGATAAGGGGACTGAATATTTCTAAGCAGTTTCCACTGTCTTCATTAATGCAGCTGATCATCATTTTAAAAGCAGCTCAGTGATATAAATCCTATTACATACCTTGTTCCACAGGGTCCCGTAATCCAAGTGCATGGCTTGGCTCTCCCAGAGCTATAGGTTTGTACATTGTCAACCACAATGGTGGGTTGAAGCCTTGTGTGAACATAGGCACACCAATTCCTAAGCAAAAAGAAAGAGAAACAAAATTTATTATACAACTGTTACATAAATGAAAATTCTGATGTGAAAAAAACCTCAACTAGGCTAAGAGGTAGGAAGATGCAGATTTTGTTCCCATTCCAGAATTACTGGCTTGTTATTTCAAGGCAGCAAGTACAGCTGACCAAGCAAAAGAGATTTACATGCTTACCAGTAATTCACCAGGAATGCAACCATTTACCAGTATAAGGAGGTTTGGTGACTTGTGAAGAGCTTTCTGAGATTTACATGTGGCAGAATTTGGATCCACTGTATTAGATTTCTACCCATAGACTATATGTCTATGGAGATTCTCAGTCATCCAGGTCATGGTTGCCCCAAATATGTTTAGAACTGAAGAAGCTTCTTGGATGAGAAGGGAAACATCTTCAAGCAAAAACAAAGTCCAGTTGCCTTTTGAAAAAAGCATCTTTGGGATATCCACGACTATCATCTCCATTAAATAGGGACAATTTTTAATGATTTTAAATAAGACACAGCTACAAATATTTGGTTTTTAATTGGCTTTTATAGGGAAATGTTTTGTATTGTTTTTAATATGCTGTGAGCCGCCCTGAGTCCCATGGGGGAGAAGGGCGGCATATAAGTTAAAGTTAAATAAAAATAAATAAATAAAATAAATATAGCAATCAATAACAATGAACAGTACAGCACTACTGCATTTAAGTAACTTGCTTACAAAGGAAACAAAAAGAAAAGGTAGAAATATAAACCCTTGCTTGATCAAATTTAGAATAAGCTAATCTATTTTCATCTCAAAATACGTTCACTTATATAGGCCCATTCTTATCTGTTTCCATCTGAATCATTGAATCATTGAAATATACAGCTGGAAGGGATCTTGGAGGTCTTCTAGTCCAACCCTCTGCCCAAGGCAAGAGTCTTTATATCATCCCCAACAAATGGTTGTCCAATCCTTTCTTGAAAACCTCCAGCAATGGAGCACCCACAACTCTGGGAGGCAAGCTGTTCCATTGATTAATCTTTCTCACTGTCAGGAAATTCCTCCTTAGTTCCAGTTATATAGCTTAAATCAGACATGTCAAACACAAGGCCTGGGGGCCGGATGCGGCCCGCGAAGTGGTTTCATGTGGCCCGCGAAGCCATCCTGGAAACAGTGAGGGAACGGCCCCCGCTGCCTTGGCCCTGGCCCAGGCCAGCCAGGAGCCAATGTACAATTTTGTGGTGGCCATCTATGCTGAAACGCATTCAGTCTTAGCTCCACAAGGCTGTCCGGAAACAGCGAGGAACCAGCCCCTGCCACATTGGCCCCGCCCCCTGGATGCATGCTGGGGAGGTGTCACCCTTTGTGAGGAATGAAGGAATGGACCATGCCTTGGCGCTTGCCCCGGTCCCACCCCCTTCTGCCAGAGACCCTCAGATCTGTCCCACTGCTGCCCAGGCCCCCACAGGCCCCCTTGACGTGAACGATGTAGAGCTGGCCATGCCCACCCAGTAGGCCACACCCACTCCATCCATGCCCACCCAGTAGGCCACACCCACCCTGGCCACACCCACCTGCCCCCCCCCGAGGGCAACCGCAATGCTGATGCGGCCTTCAATGAAATTGGCTTAAATGTAATAAGTGTGTGGTATGGGGAGAAGGTTAAGTAGCCAATGGAATGTTTTGTGAAACTCTTGAAAACTGTGAAAGCTTGTGGATGTTTATCTTCTGATCAGTGGTGGGATTCAAATATGTGAACAACTGGTTCTCTGTGTGGACCTGCTTCCGGAAGTCCATTCTGGGCCTGGGCAACAAAAAAATTAGCTACCGGTTCTGCTCTCTGAATCCCACACTGCTTCTGAGGGGCACATTATGGGAAGTTTGTGCTGTTTACATTTCATTCATATTGGGAGGGACTGACTTCCCACACACCCATGGGGATGGCTGGAGACTTCAGGATGCTCCCTCCACCTTGTTAAACTTCATCCTGCTATTTTCCCTACTGTGAGGTCAGCTGGGCTCAGAGAGAGTGACTGTCCTAAAGTCACACAATCTACTTTGATGCCTAAAGAGGGACCAGAACTGACAGTTTCCTGGTTTCTAGCCTGGTGCCTTTACCACTAGATCACACTTGCTCTCAAATGTCTAAGTCAGGGGTCTTCAAACCTGGCCCTTTTATGACTTGTGGACTTCAATTCCCAGAATTCCTCAGCCAGCATGCCTGGCTGAGGAATTCTGGGAGTTGAAGTCCACAAGTCATAAAAGGGCCAAATTTGAAGACCTCTGGTCTAAGTTATCAAAATATAAAAATACAATTACCTCAAAACAGCAGCATGAAACATTGAAAATAACAACAGTGAAAATTTTCCAATTTATATTATATACATAAACACTGAGCTGGAAAATATTCTGTCCTGGCTCAGACTACGATCATCCTACCCACTCGAGCTTCCCCATCTGTCTTCCATTGATCATCCCTTGACTATACAACACTGCATAGCCTTCCTGGTGGGTAAAAGCCAAGGAAAAATGCCTTTTCCTTCTTCATGACTTTCCTCTTGAGTTTTCATTAAATGGTTTTTGTCTATGTGGAGAAAAAGCAAGGAAAAATAGAGTCCCCCCCCATGCGAAAAAGATTTCTTGAATGCTTTCTTGATTTACCCTGAAGTTACCTCTGCAACTATGCACCTTATCACCTGTAAAACATGGACACTGAGACAGCTAACTGAGTCTAGGAGTACATCCAAAGAATTACTGGAGTCTCCAAGAGAGTAAAATACCATTTAAAACACAAGCACTCAGTTTTGACTGAATTAATCTTAAACTTGTTCCTTTCCTCCAGCCCATGAGGGACATCAAAATCTACTTTAGAATCTCAGCAGCCTTCTTGAATGAAGAGGATAAGGTATGTCATAAGTAAAAGTTAGACAGCTTAATCCCTGTACTGAAACTAAAGTCTAAGGCTGCAAATGTGATTTGGTTTATGTTTCATGAATTCTCAATATGGATCAGCAGATGGCAACCTTTCCCAAGGCACATTTCCAAGATTTTTTCATAGGCTAGCAAAGAGATCGACTAAGATAATGTACTGTCTTTCTGTAAAGCTTTTCTTGAGTTGCCCAGCTTCCAAGTCCTAGTATTTGAAAATATAACCTGTTCTTCTTAATTTATACATCTTAATTTATACAAAAAGCCTTAATTCATAAAAAACATTATTCAAATTAATTATTCAAATTAGCTTGACTGATTTTGAACTAATATTCAAATTAGTTTGACTCCCAATGACTTCGTGAACATAGCTATTTATGTTTCTCGGCATCAAAGCAAAAATTTGTTGGAATTTGTTCAGTATTCTAGTCTAGCCTAGGTCTATGCCAGGACACTAGTCTCTAGCTTAGGGTCCTGACATAGCCTGCCAGTCAGCTATGTAGCTACTTATCTGCTTATCTTCAAAGACCATGTGAGTTAGCCATGTGTTGATAATTGAAATTCCATGGATCCATGGAAAAGAATGAGGAAGCATATGTGATGTTGTCAAGATAGAAATCCTGTAAAATTGGAATGAAAATACATAAGGATGACATTTGTGTCACGGTGTTACTGCACAACACCATTCTTTTGATATAATCTTGATTTTCTGGGGATCCCAGACATTAAGCATAGTGATTGACCAAGGTTTTTTTTTTTTTTAAAGAACAAAAGTAATGACCAATCAAGCAGGAAAGAAATGCATAGATTTTTTTAAAAATTGCATACTTTAGGATGTATTCTTATACTTATATATATGTAGCTAGCATCCTGTAGTGCAGGGGTCCCCAACCCCCGGTCTGTGGTACTGGACCGCGGCATGCCAGCAACCATTCCGCACAAACAAGCAAAGCCCCATCAATGGGATGCAGGCAGCACACAAAACCACACACTCTCTGGTCCATGGAAAAAAGCCTTTCTCCATTGAACTGGTCCCTGGTGCCCAAAAGGTTGGGGACCTCTGCTGTAGTGGAATATCTGCGCAATGTATGGGCTAAATCCTCCCATGTCCAGACAGGAGAGTCCACAGATGGTCAGAGAGAATAAGAAAGCTAAGATCTTATTGGGCTTTCAGATCCAGATAGACAAGCAATCCAGTCATTGTGATAGTGACCCAGAAGACAGTGGTGATGATAGATATCACTTAGAGACACTCTGAGAGATTCTTCGGTTCTATGACTCGTAAACTGGAACTGTGGCTCCAGCAATCCCAAGAACAATGTCAGAGCTCTCTGTTCAGAAGAATGTAGTGCTAAGAATCGTTAAGAGAGCCTGTTTGGTCTAGTGCAGGGGTAGGCAACCTTGGCTCTTTTATGACTCGTGGACTTCAACTCCCAGAATTCCTGAGCCAGCCATGCTGGCTCAGGAATTCTGGGAGTTGAAGTCCACGAGTCATAAAAGAGCCAAGGTTGCCTACCCCTGGTCTAGTGGTTTAGGCACTAGGCAAGAAAGCGGGAGACCATCTGTTCAAGTCCCACCATGGAAACCGGCTGGGTGATTAGGCCAGTCATTCACTCTCTCAGTCCAATCCACCTTGGGTTATTATTCTGGGGAAAATAGGAGAAAGGAGTACTGTGTGTTTCATTTCTTTAAGTTATTTGTAAAAATAATAAAGGCAGGATATAAGAAAGAAAGCAAAGTGAGCAAGCAAGAAAGAAAAAAGAAACAAAGAAGATACTGAACAGAACCTTCAAACTCCCAGACCTCTGGTAGAGGATCTGAGATTGAAAAAGACCCTTTCAGGGGTCTACAAAGTCAAGTCCTTAAAAATTTCTCCGTTTTAATTTCCAATACAGCTAATTCTCAACTTGCGACCATAACTGAGCCCAAAATTTATGTTGTTAAACAAGATGTTTGTTAAATGAGTTTTGCCTCATTTTATGACCTTTCTTGCCACAGTTGTTAAGTGAATCACTGCAGTTGTTAAATTAGTAACACAGTTGTTAAGTAAATCTGGTTTCCCCATTGACTTTGATTGTCAGAAGGCCAC